ACATCATAATTCCTTCTCCCTTCCCTCCACTGTTTCTTGCCTGGAGTCTGTTTTCCAGTGAACCATTCTTCACCAAGGTCCTTCTGGCCTGCCTCCCAGTAAGGACCTAGGGAGAGTTGGGTACCCAGGTGCCAAGTTTCTTGCTACCTGAACTAAAGTAGGTGCCCTGTGCCATAGCTTCCCGAAGGACTAGCTCTGCGCTGACTTGAAGAGGGAGTTCTTCAAGGGGTTCTGTGGAACTTTGTCAGAAGCAACTGAGCTGTCTCTTCAAGACATTTAGGCTTCCCCGAAGATACAGCCTGGAGGCTGAGGGTCAAGGTGTCAGCTTTGGGTGTGACCAATTTCTCCAGAGTGAGCAAAGGTAGCTTGCTTGGTCGAGGATCAAGGTTATAATTTTTCACCAAGGTAGAGAAGGGGACTCCATGATAACTCTGGTCAGTGCACCCTTTGCCTGGTGTGGGGGTGGGTAGGGCGTGTGATTTATGGCTACTGAGGTAAGAATAGGGTAAGGCTGCCCCCTGGTGCCTGGTAGGTGTACAGATCCTCCCTTTAAGCTCAGCATCTGCCTGTTCTGTTCCTCAGGGACCTCCAGGCCTCTCTATCAGCATCTGAGCAGCTTCTTGGGAATTTTCCAGGGTCAGGACTAGCCTGGGGTGTATTATTGAGGTGAGGTGTGCCCATTTCAATCCCAAGCTCCCTGATCTGATCAGACACCAAAGTCCCCAGATGGCTCATCCCATCATGCTAAGCCTGCAGTCATCAGGCAGCTTTAGCAAGAAAATCAGTTCCAGCCAGAGCCAGATTGAGCCTGATAGGTGAGGGAAGAGGGAGGGGGCCCATCTCCACCCGGGCTAACAGGAGGAGCCACGTGTGTGAGTGTTTATTTGATGCCTGTTTCATGGTAGAATCTCCTTGCTCATCAGAGGACCCTAACTTGGGTCTTCTCTGGCCCAGCCTGGGACCAAAGTCCTCCTGGAGAAACAAAGGCCATTGAGGAGTTACCCAAAACACACATACTGGAAGAGCTGGAGCCACTCAAGGAACACAGAAAAGGGGCATTTAAGAGAGGAAAGAAGAGGATTCCAAGGAATGGGCATAGAGGACTCCATTGAAGTAGAAGGACAGAGTACAGATGTGAGACCTGCAAAGGGAAAGGAGTTGCTGCAACAGTGACCCAGATGAAGTGCAGGCAGAGGCCAGTAGACAATAGGAAAACAGGCTGTGGAACTGAGAGCAGAGTGGGAGCTGGGTGTGGGCAACTCTCAGGAATTTAAGACCCTGGTTGTAAAGTGAGTTGGGGTGGCAGGGAAAGAACATAGTGGCCTGAAGTACATGTTGTGGGGAGGTCCAGAGGTAAACAAGTCAAAGCTGGGTGTAAGGGTGAGGAACTCCATCCATCCTGGGCCTGTGCTGAGCATCTGGGTGAAGAGGCATGTGCCAAGCCCAGGTACAGGAATGTAAATAAGGAAGAAGTACCATCTTCACCTAGACATAAAGAGGCACTTTAAGGTAGCAGGCACCCATGCTTAGACACCTGGAACTTCCACCTTTGCGGGCTCAGAAGGGGGCCAGGAAATGAAACAGTTTTCTTGCTCACCTTTTCTTTCCTTTTTTTATTAGAAAGAAAATTATTTTACATGTCAATCCCAGGTCCCTCTCCCTCCCCTCCTCCCCTGCACCCCCCCCCTGCAACTAATGCGTACCTATTTCATACCCTTTCTGTTCCCCAGGAAGGGTGAGGCCTTCCGACAGACTCACCTTATCTTCTTAGGGTGTGAACCTCTCCATACTCCAATGGCTAGTTCTGGGCTAGGCCCACACTGGCTCACTGGTTCACTGGCCTCCTGCAGTGGTACTGGTTCTATTTCTTAACTGGCTTGCCATTGAAGGTCAGGAGGCTAAAGAAGGAGGCACCGGTGGCAACTGCCCTGTCACCTACCCATGAGCCATTTCTCAAGAAGCTAAAAAGCAGCTAACCAGTCAGAGTGCTGGCAGCCTCTGTACCTGTGGCATTTGCTCCAACCCAGACTGTGGAAGTGTGTGCACTGATGGAGACAGTTCATGTGTCTAGTGACAGTTCCTAGGAGGTGTGGAGCACTAGGGGGAACAAAAGCATTGGACTTTTCAGTTCTGGGTAGGGTCTCTCCAGGGCGTGCTCCTGCAGAGTGTGTGTGTGTGTGTGTGTGTGTGTGTGTGTGTGTGTGTGTGTGTGGTTGCTAGGGAGGAATATGGTGGACTCCCCAGGATCTCAGCTGATAGCCACAGGCTCTTCATAACTAGCACTGTCCTTTGGGGCCCTGATGTTCCACTCATAAAGGCACTTAACTGTGCTGAGAGTTCCTAGGGGCTGGGGTAGAAGCTGAGAGCATGCTGGGGTAGAGGCAGCACACTGGGAAAGGGCTGTCACAGGGCCCCTGTTG